GAGACCCTCTGGGGCCCTTTGAGCTTCTTGGTCACGTGCCACACTTGCTGTCCAGTCCACCTCATGCCCCGCCTCAAGAATCGGCAGCCTCTGGGCTCAGCCTGCCTGCGTGCAAGTCTTCACTCCACCTTCTACCTGCTTCGTGACTGTGAGCTGTATCTATCTTTTCTGTGTCTGTTTCCTCCCCTGTAAAGGAGGGTGGTCGTAGGGTGAAGTAGGTTAGGTCCAGTAGCACATCACTGACCTGTGATAGTAAATACTGGTTACTATTCTTGTCAGGAACATTGCCCTGCCAGCACCCGGAGCCTGCCGGGAATGCAGGGTTCCGGCTTCTGCCATAGACCCGTAGGTTCAGAGTGACCCCTATTTGAGAGGTGCTGTTCTAGAATATTCCGTGCCGGCTGACACATGTCAGTGAATGAGCAGCTGTGGCAGGGGGCTGCTGAGTGGCGGCGACATTGAGTCTCTTGGTTAGAACCTCGAAGTACATTCGGCCTGCCCAGAACTGCCCCCGCTCCCCAAAACTGACCCGGAACATGCTTGGCTGCCCCGGCCACTCTCTTTCTGGGCTTGCAGGCTGGACATGACTTTCAACCTGCTCTTGCCTTAGCACAAATGTGGGCAAGGGGAGGACTTGCCCCTGGGGAGGGGGCAGGTCAGTGGTTAGCTTTGCTGTGGGGTCATCTGCCTTCATGTGGTTCAGGGCCCTGGATTGCTGCGTATTAGCCTCGATTCTAGTCTCTGTCATTCAGCAAACGCCTACCGTGTGCCAGGCACTATTTACATTATATCCGCCCCTTTCAGCGGCCTCATTTTACAGAAGAGGAAACTGAGGCCTGGGAGGTTTGGGTTGCCTGAGGTCATCAGCCAGTCTGAGTTTCCTCCATCCTCCTCTGCCTCTCTGTCACCCCGCCCGACTCCCCTGCTGTTAACCATTCACCCACAGCTGTATGGAAAAGGACGCCCAGCATGCTGTGAAACAGGTGGTTTTGGTGATTATTCACACACAAAAGGAAAAACTACCAACATAGAAGAGGAGAGGGCCTGGTGCGTTTAACAAGAGATGGGAAATGACTGGGCTGAATTTGCCTTAAACGGCAGGCACTGCGAGGCAGAATTCACGGGTCCGCACCAGCTGCTGCAGAAGGTTTAGACATTAGACCGGAGGGTGGCCTCATTTAAAAGCAGACCTTTTTATAAGGCACGCGGTGCTGTCTAGACTGGGGAGCATTTATGATGTCCCACGCGTCAGGCTCACGCACCTGAGTTTCTGGTTCCAGTCGCTTTGAGGGAACAACCTCTCCGAGCAGTGCAGGAAAAAATTGGATTCGGTGGGGAACACTCTCCCTGCAGGGGCCTCATGAGCTCTGCATTTCTTCGTGGATGTGGGCGAGGAGGGCAAGCGGAGAGAAGGCGTCTCTGTGCTTTTCCGCGGGTGCCTTGCCGTGCGGTACATCTTGCTGTTCGCGGAATCTTTGCTTGTCCCAATCCTCCTTCCTACCGGGAGCCGCCCGGCGGGTCAGCTCAGTGTGGCGTGGCTTCTGGAAGGCACTCAAAAGGAATAAGGGAGTGAAAAGTCCTAACCCAGGAAGGCTGAAGTGGGTCTCTTGAGTCAGGCTTCTGATGTCCAGCAGGACCTTCTGCTCCCCTGTTCACTTGGAGGGGCAGCCATGAGAAGGAGACCGGGAAGTAGCCCGCTGGGCCCCAGACCTCATCTTTTGTCTGGCCTCAGACTCGGGCCACCGTGACAGAGGTGAGCCCCGTTTCAAATGGGGGTGCAATGGTAAACACCAGAGGTTGAGATTCGCCTGCTCTTTTAGTGATTTGGGAGCCAAGGTGGTCTCCATTCTCAAAGCCTCTCTCGCGGCCCCAGGAGGAACGGGGAGGGCATCCAATTTGCTCTAAGGGAGAAAGGCAGGCAGGCAGCCCTGTGTAAGGGGTCTGCTGTCTGGGCTAATTAAACGTTAATTAAACATGCTTTGGCCCAGAGCACTCGCCCTGGGCCAGACATGTTCTCAGCACTTAACATTTAACCCCAATAGGCACCCATGAGGCAGATACTGCTATTTCCTTCCCTCCTTGGTGGGATGAGAGAAGCGGCGCTCAGAGAGGTTATGAAAACCGCCCCAGGCCACACAGCTAGCGAGCAGCTCTAGCGTGCTCAGCGTGTGCCTGGCCGCACGCAAGACGGCTTCTCTGTGCACTGACTCCATTTATCCTCAGGTGCTGGTTTATGCCACAGGAGCTACATTTATAGGTCTTCTTTGTTAACAACTCTTAAAAAAATGGGACAACCCTTCCTAGCTCTTTAGGTCCTATAAAAACAGGCCCGGGGCAGGATTTGCTCACTGATCAAATATGTAGCAAACAAAAGAAGCAAGATGATTTCAGCTGGTGCAAAATGCCCGGAGGAAGAGGGTGTGGAGAAAGACGGAGGAGAGGAGGTCCCAGGGAGTTGTGTTATGGGCTGTGGGGCAGCGGTCACTCCGGGCGGGGTGGCTGGTGCTGAGCTTGAGGGGAGAGAAGGATGGGGAGGTCAGGCACTCAGCTGTGCGTGCCCACTGCTGCCCCTTACGCCTGTGGTTACTGCGGCCCTGGCTATGTTGCTGGGCTGCCAGTGGCTGGCTGGCTGACCTAGAGTGTGTCATTTCATGCTCTTGGGACTGACCTGCCCTCTCCCGCAGCACTGGGTGATTTCCAGCACTCATCCTTCTGACTCCCGCCAGCCAGCCAGCGCTTTGAAAGAGGGGTAGAGGGAGCCCACTCTTGCACATTTCCAATAGAAGCTGCTTTGTGCCAGGAGGGGAGCATCTGTGAAGGGGCTGCCACTGTGGAGTAACATGTATGGAGCCCTTTTAGTTTCCTCAGTGCTGAGTGGGGCTTTGCTAGAATGCGCAATGCTTTTCACACTGGCCTGGAAGCATCTCCCCCCAAACCCCCCCAAGTGCTCTGTGGGGCCCTCCCCCTCTCACTCCACTGTTGGGGGGCAATTGCCAAGCAGACTTACTTTCTTAGCCCCCAGAACGTCTTACCCTCCCCTGACCCTGGGCGGTAAAGGCTGTATTCCCATTGTGATTTGACAATAGGACCCCTGGAGGCCAAGTTCAGCCTGCTGCATAATCAAAGGGGTGGTTTCTACCCTTGGCCCATCTGAGCGCAGGGAGGAATGTGGACCTGCTCCAGCAGCCACCCACATCCTCCGCGGCCTGTGTGTGTTCACTGTCTGCTTCCTCCAGGACTCACTCTCGGGATCGCAGGCCCAGCTCAGATAACATAAAGCCTCCAGTCATATCTTTACATTTGACGTAAGCGCTGGGAGGCTTTTCTGCCTCGAACTGAATGGGGCTGTCGGCGAGGTCTAGGGGAACGCTGAGCCTGGCACGGTGGTGAAAGGAGGCGGGAGACCCATTCATCTCTGTGCATCCTCCCTTGATGCAGCCACGTGGTCCACCCAGGGTCTGGGGTGGGGTGGCGCGGGGTGGGTGAGCGCTCCGGGTTGCAGAGGGACCAGGCATGCCAGGTTCCCAAAGAAATCTCATGTCATCTCCCTGTCGGGAGATCTTGGGGTGTTGGGGGGTCGTTCTCCCTTTTCTTCTCCAGTTCCACTATCACTTCTTGGGTCTGGGCTCTGGTCACATAGCACCAGCTCCTCGGCCCCTCTCTGCTCTTTCATTCATAAGAGCTTCTCCGCACACCTGCCTCCCCCTAAGCATTTTCTCAGCCTGCCACGGGCTGAGCACTGTGTTAGAGGTGGACATGAAGCCGTGACTGAGTTCCCCACCGACATACAAGTCGTGACACATGCACTGATTTCATGACGCGGGGAAGGTTCTGCAGGGGAGAAATCCGGGGACCTGCTTGTGGGTGGAACCCACACAGAGCAGACGCAGCAGTAACAGTGGCTCCCCAGTTCCTGGTATTTGAGAAAGCTTCTGTGGACAGAGCTGGGGGCGGGGGAGGCTGTCAGTGTACACACATGTGCCTGCAGAGGCTGACCAGGCCTCACCTGCAAAATTGACTAAGGTGAGGGCCCCCCAGCAAGGGCGTGTTTCTGCGAGCACTTTGTCGTGGTTTATAACCCAGAGGGTGGTCATCTTGGAAAGGGCGGCGCCTCGGGTGAGCCACGGGAGGATGGGTGTGGAGGGAACGAAGCAGGCCTCGGACTCGCGGTGAATTGCCTGGTGGGCTTCTGTGATCCCCCTGGCTACCTCCCACCTCCCCAGACAGAAGTAGTGTTTGTTCTCTCTGAGAGCCAAGGCCGAGGAAATTGCTAAGCAACTTGTTTGTGAGCAGAGATGAATCCATCGACAAACTTTTTTTATTAGAGCCCTGTGGTCGTCCAGTTCCTTTTTATTGATGTGCTTTATTTGAGAAGTCGTTCTCTGCGTTGGCTCTGCCACTCCGGGGCAGCTAGGATTTGCAGATGATGCTGGCACGGAGCTTGTGGCACGGGTGAGGGGTCCCTGCTGCCCCTCCCTTGCTCTTACTGTGAGTTTTCTCTCCTCATAGAGGTGCTTGGGTGAGGGGAGCATGCAGGGAGGCCTGCAGATGGCACAGCAATTGCGTAAACACAGCAAAGACTGGCCTCTGGAAACCCCAGGCTAGACGGCTGGATTGCTGAGGCCTCTGCACGGCCCAGAGGCTCATTTCACCCCCATGCTGAACCATGGAGACCCCCTAAACCGAGCTCTCCTTTTTCTCCTTTTCAAAGAACCAGGATTCCTAGAGTCAACGAATCTGGCCAAATTAAGCAGCCTCTGCTTTATGAACTAAAACCCACTCTCCCAACCCCAGGCTGTTAAAACCTGATGTTTTCTGTGGCTGGGAGAAGGGTGTTTTTGCTGTAAATGAAAGACGTGACAGGGATATTTTGAAGTTTTGTTTTGGTTTTTGTCGGTTCTGCCAACAAGTAACATCTGTATTTATTTTCCAAACTCCCCCAATGGCTGATTTGCATCTGTTTAGTTCTCTGAGTAACATTTCATTTCCTGACTTTATAGGTTGCCATAAAATCCATTCGTAAGGACAAAATTAAGGACGAACAAGACATGGTCCACATCAGACGCGAGATTGAGATCATGTCATCCCTCAACCATCCTCATATCATCAGTATTTACGAAGGTCAGTGATTTTTTTTTTCACCCCCCTGTATCAGTTACCACTTCTCATACCAGCGGCCTGCCAAGAATTTTAGGTAATTGCCTTTCTGGGTGGGAGCCAAGTATTTTTCCTCTTGATGCAAAAATAGCTGGGTGTTATCTCTTACTTGGTTACCTTGAATGCAACCAGACGCACGTAGCGCAGTGCCTTCTGCTCATAAAATACTTCCTGGGGTGCCTTCTCCCCTGTTTCTGGGTGGTTGCTAGGCAACCTGCCTTATTGAAAACCAGTAGGTGAGATGGTGTGGCCTCTGAAACATGGCAGTTTGCTGGGTGACCACGTAACAGTGGCTACGTTGTAAATGTCATTCGCAAAGCTGGGGATTCCGAGGTGGATGCATCCTGAGTTACTCAGTCAGGCTCTTTGAGGTAAGAGTGAACTTTAAGCGGGTCCAGGAAATGGCGAGAAAGATGAGGGAAACGCACATGCTTTGCAAATGGAATCCAGGCTGTAGTTGGTGTTTGCTGGAGGGTGTGTGGGGAGGAGCTTATGAAACTGCTCATGCTCAACTCTTTGGTCCTCAGTGGGACGAGATAAGAGTATAAACTTCCGACAGTCGGCTTGTCACACACACGGCTTATCATATACACGACACACATACACATCGTGTGCACAGCTGTCTGTCACCCCTCCATCCTTCTGGATCTGCCTGCCTGCCTGCCTGCCTGCCTGTCTGTCTATCCACACACCCATCCACACATCCAACTGCCCTCCCCCCACCTTTTTTTCTCCCCCTTCTCTTTACTGGAAAAATATCACACAAGCAATATGTATTTATTGCAGAAACGACTGAAATACAAATGCTAAGATAAAGAAATAATTTCAGCTCTAACTCTCAGTTTGATGAGTAGCCCTTGATCCATATCCATATCTTTATCTACTACTCTATAATTGTGTGTGGTTTTAAACCAATGTTAGACCATACTGATTATACTGTTTTTAGCTTCACTTTTTTTTATTTCATTTTTTATAACACACATCTGTTCCATAAACAGATGTCAATAAATAGTCTTCTGTCAGGACATTTTAAAAGACTTTGTAGTATTCCATTTATGGGCATACCATAATTTATTAAATTTAATTCTTTTTGTCAAACATTTAAGTTGTTTCAAATCTCTCTTATTATAAACAGGTGACTTTCCTTGTACATCATTTTTACATTCATTTCTGATTGTTTTCTTATGAAAAATTCCTAGTCCTGGACTTACTGAGTCAAATGGTTTCTCCAGAATGTCTTTTACTATATGGTTGAGTCAGAAAAATGAACCTATTTTTAATTTCTCCCCTAGTCATAACAACTTACATAGGAAGGTCTAAGAGGAAGCCAGATATTAACCCTAAAGCTTTTCTGATATTTAAAATTTTCTTTCTTCTAGTTCCCTGTGTGGTTTTTTTTTTTTTTTTTTGTTTTTTTCTTGCTGTTTCTATTTTTGCTATTCATCTAGAAGTAAATGTTGGCAATATCTCTTATCTTGATTTTTCTAAAGTTCATTTTTGGAGCCCTTGGGAATAAGTTTTTTTTTTTAAAGATTTATTTATTTATGCATACAGAACTGGGGTACAGGCCAGAAGTGCAGGGGTGGTGAGAGGATTCACCAAGACAGAGTGGGGAGCAGAACAGACCAACTAACAAAGTACACTGCTGAGGGAAGCAGCGGGCGGGCCCGGAGAGGTCTGCTACGCCATGTGGATCTCCTCATGCGGATTGAACTCATGTGGAAGTGGCTTAAGATTCTTAGTGCAGCGCTTTATCTGCTGCACCACCAGGGAGGGCCTGGGGATATGATTTTAAAGGGGCATATTCACTGATTCAGTCAGGCACTCATTCCACAGACATCTCTGCAATGATTCTTGTAGTGTAGCGCCTGGGTCAGCAACACCCACCTGCATGGGACCGGCCAGGTGCTGCTGAGGGTTGGCCACCCTGGGAGGGGCCCAGAAAGTTTGAAAACCACTGGTCTCTGAACTGCGGCCAATTCTTGTTCAGCACAGTGTTAACTGTGGTTAGAACCTTTCGGAGGAATGTTTTAGGGATCTCATATTCAAGAAGCAGTCGAAAAAACACAACGCAGATGTATAAGCAGCAGATGCAAGGACCGTGGAGGTCCAGGGTCAGAAGTAGTCATGGAGTAGTCATGTGGCCTCCAGGCTGGGTCAGAAGGAGTTCTTCTGGGGGAGAACTGGTGACAGGAGGGTTCAGGCAGAGAAAGCGAATCTAAATGCGCCTAGTGGGTGAGGGGGTTTGGAAGTGATTCGTGGGGAGAGGTTCAGAATTCAGGAGGAGAGTGACTTTTGTTAAATTTTGAGCGTGTTTGCTCTGTAGGGTTTGGTTACCATGGAAACCTGAAAATGGTTCTAGTGAAAGATCACCTGTGGGCTGTGGACAGTATAGTCAGGATGTTCTGTGAGCATGCTGCGGTTGGGATTTCTTCATCAGGAAGGCAGGGGAGTGCTCCAGGGGGAAGTGCCCAGGTTCTGTATTTGGTCTTGGTTCAGTCAGTGGTCATGAAGCCTGGCCTGGGGAGCCTGACCTCCTCCTTAGCACTGTTCCCGCTCTGGGCTCCAGATGGGATGTCTCTCTGCCCAAGAAAAGACCACATAGGGGCATGAACAGCGACCCATTCTCTCCTCAAGGCCTGATTGATCTTGGGTTAGCTTCTGCTGGAGGCTTCAAGACGCGAGACCTTTGCTTTCAAGATAAACTAAGTGTGCATGAGGCCTCAGCTGAGGGCATGAACTTTAATTTTAGGGACTTGGGAAAGAGCTTTGAATTAGTTCTCACATTAGGCAGTTTTGGGTTTCTGTCTTAAATCCTATTAGACATGGCTCTTTGGCAAGCTGTGGGCCTCTCAGTGATTCAGTAGCGGCAACTGTAAAATGAGGTAAGTGGCCTATCTCTCTCAGAGGTCCCAAAGGGTGAAATGAGCTGGTACCTGTTCTGGCAAACTCAAGGATCACTATGAAGATGCCATAATAGCATCTGTGGATCTTATTGGGGTTCACCAATCAGGGCATTTCATGGTGAGCTGCAGGGGCTAAGTAAAGTCTTCTGGAATACTGTCCAATACAGACCCCATGAACCACTAATAGAATTAAAATTAATTAAAATAGGGCCCTCCCTGGTGGCGCAGCGGGTTAAAGCACAGCACTAAGAAGCTAAAGCCACTTCAGCACGGGTTCGATCCCCAGCCCCGGGAGGTGACCACATGGTGTGGCAGACCTCTCCTGACCCGCCCGCTGCTCCCCTCAGCAGTGTACTTCGTTGATCTGCCTGTTCTGCTCCCCGCTCTGTCTCTGGTGAATCCTCTCACTGCCCCTGCAACTCTGGCCTGTATGAATAAATAAATAAATCTTTAAAAAAAATTGATTAAAATAATTTAAGATTCTGCTCCTCACAAGTGCTCCATGGCCGCCGTGGCCAGTGGCTGCCGTGCTGGACAGTATAGAAAGCTTTTTCCCACCACAGGGTAGTGTGTGCTGGTGTGTGATGTGTCTTCTGTTAAGAACATGGGTTATTTTTTTTCTAGGAGGAGGGTGCATAGCTTTCCTCATACTCTCAAATAAGTTAAAAGGGTTAAACAAAAACCCCTACTGCCACCAAGCATTTCTGACCTACAGGTCAGATAAATAAATAATATACGAATATTTGTGAAAGAATTTTTATATGTATGTAAAATTTATATAAATAAAAAGTATTGTTTTCATCCAGAGAACTCCAGGGACTTAAAAGTGGCCCTCTTTTCTTTTCTTAGTTTCTGTTCTGTTGTTTTTCCCTTCTCCCACGCACATTCTGCCTCTCCCATAGCCACCAGACAACTGTGTTGGAGGGCAGGTCTCCGGGGATCAGGAGCCAGAGATTGCTGAGGCCTTGGTCTGGGGTGTGTCCCCGGAACAGCACTGCACTGCCCCCAGCCCCTGGGCCGCTGGGGAGCCGGGGCCGCTGTTCTGGGGTGACACTGGCCCTCCTAATGTAGGCACAGAACCGCCCGCTCCCCAGCTCGCCCACCTCGGTGCCCTTTGATCCGCACGGTTGACCTGGGGCTGAGCCAGGCCCTTCCAGTTTTGTTCCCATTTTTCACCACTGGGGAGACTGAGACTCTGGAAGCTTAATAACTCCTCTCCCTGAGACTCTGGAAGCTTACTAGCTCATCAGTACACTGCGGGCTGGGGGCCGAGCCTGGAGGCTCAAAGGCCACGGTCAGGGTGGTGGGGGGTCCCCGAGGCCCCTCCCTTCTTCTCCCCGTGACTCCCCGTGGTTTTCCCTCATCGTGTGCCTGATCGGATGTCTGCTTTTTACCAGGGCGCAGCCTATGGACTCAGGGTCCCCCCAGTGATCTCTTTCACCTTAATCACCTCTGGAGAGACTGTCTCCAAATACACATTCTGAGGAACTGGGGGAGCACTTGGACTTAGGAGTGGGGGTGTGTGAGCCAGTCTAGCTCCTCCCCCTGTGTTGCAGGTGTTTGGTGGCCCCGCCAACCCATCTCCTGACTCTCTTCTTCTCTCGGGCTCCTGCCATGGTTTCTGACTTGGGTCTCGTGCTGGCTTTGCAGCTGCCTGTGGCTCCATCCAATCCCTCTGCCTGGCCCTGGCCGGCCTCTTCAGCTGGGTGTGGTGGGGGCCGTGATGGCAGCCAAGGTGGTGTGACCCAAGTCTGGGGGCTAGTACTCCCACCTCTATCTCACGGTGAAGGGGAAACTACTCCCCGGAAGCTGCCTTGCTTGGCAGGCCAACGAGAGCCTCAGCTGCGTGCAGAAACATGTTAATTTGCTCAGTGAAAAATCAGTGTCGAGGCACCTGAGTAGCTGTTTGGACATGAGCCAGGTAAGAGAGGCCCTTAAGGAATTGGTTGGGTCCTCCCTGGAGGCGTGGCGGGTTGGAGCGCAGCACTGCAAAGCAGGTCGCGGCCGCCTCAGTGCAAGCGGGATCTGGGCCCCGGAGGTGACTCACATGTCATGGTG